CAATTAAAATGAAAGAAGGATATATATAATAATGTTACATTCCTTTCCCTGCTTAATTCTCGCAGACTTTCTTATTTGCCACAGTTCAATTTTAAGCTTCTATCAGGTAGGCCTGTGCTTATTTGCACGTCTTTCGTAATAGGTCCCACTGATGAACGTATCTTCTAATTTTGACAACCCCTTCAAGGTCTCCTACTTACAGTACTGATCAAATAGCACGAGGCCCAGGTTAGGGGGAAAAACCCCTTCAGAGATTTTTAGAAGAATCGTCATGAGACAGTAAACTGTTCTCTGCAGGTGAGAAGAGAAGGCAAAGCACAGGTCCCCATGCTTTCTGCCACTTTCAGTAAATTTCACACATCTCAACCAGTGAAAACACACTGGATATAAACTGCCTTCTCAGCCCTGGGCTTGTGCAGTGCCAGATACAAAAGTCAAATTCATGGCCCCCCTGCTCAGTCAAGAACAGCTCGTACTCACACACCCACTCACATTCCCGACTGTTTGCCTCATCTAATAACGTGGATATTTTCTCCTGCTTTCATTTGCTAAACAGTCATTTTTAATCCTCCTTCAGATGTGTTGTCTTCCTATTTCACCTACCACAAATAACGGCCATCCTCCCCCAACACACGCATTTCCTAACACACTGCCCAACTTCTCTCTAAACTGTTGATTTCTGGGAAAGATACGCTCCTGTTCATTTTCTAAAACCCTCCTGACGCTGCTCGTGGTTTGTGTGGAAATCAGAGGCTCTTTCTCTCTCCCATAGTGTTGCTCGAATCTTTTCCCAGGGTGGTAGCAGAATGAGTGTGGAGCACCAGAGCCCAGTTAGGTTAGTGTCAGGATTGTGTTCTGCAAGGACTTCTGACTTTAATGATCTCAGAATGTGTTTCCTGTGGAAAGAAATCATCCTACTTGAACCAGCTCTATCTAGACTCAGCGTTGTTAACTTTTTTTTTCCTACCATAATCATTCTCATGTTGTTCTCAGGTATTCATCTGCCTGTTCTAAACAGTTGGCATTTTAAGCATGAAGCAACATGTGCTTGAAATGCTCAGCTTTACTCATGGTTATTGTGTGTTCTATTTGAAGAATGATATAACCTTACAGACCTTTTTAAGATTTGGGGATGTTTCTGTTTAGCTTGGCAAAGAGAAAGCAGCAGTTATGGAATGGAGAGCTATTAGAGTTGTTTTGTTTCGTTTTAATTGTTATAAATCTCATCTTTGCCATTGCCTCATGTTCTTCTTTGGATTGAATCCAGTGTGGCTGGCTTTCCAAGACTGTCACAGCCATGAAGAACTTATGAAGAATGCATCCTAACTTCTTGAAGTCATTAGGATTTTCAACCTTAGCTAATATAAGTGAAAAAGAAAAAAGCTTAAAGGAAGTACATCATCCCGTATGCATATATACTGTATATCTGATGAGTATTATTTATTGGTTATTTGGAAAATCTTTTGCAATGAAAAGACGATACCCTCGCATCACCCAAAATGTTCACTGAAACATGCGCACACACCAGCTCTTTCCGTAATGTGCTGAAGTGAAAATTGCTAGCGAAGCCTTAACTTAAATGAACTTTCCCCTGGTTTTAGTCTTAGAATTAGCACAGCAATTAAAAATGTAGGAAAATTCTATCCATGTTGCAGTGGAGTCTGATAATTCACTCATGTCACGTTCCACGTTCTCAGGATACAGGAACTCCTCGGGGTCAGCAGAATCTCAACGGAACAGTGAACGTTGCACACAAATCACGAAGACACACACTTACCGCAGTCGGTGTGTGACAATACGTTGTGCAAAACACACGGCAGAATCTTACCATTGTATTGAAAGTTCATTCCTTAACGAATGAGACGGAAAGAAAAAAAAAATGTATCTCTCCGCCATGAATCAGGTTTCTACACAGCTGTTGAGTAGTAGCAGCTTAATATTTCAGCACTGAATTTATTCAGTGTCACCCTCTCAGATACGTTTGTTTCTTCCTCATTTCCCTTAAAGTCTGTTTGGATGGGAAAGCATTTTTTGTGTTGGCAGCCTCCTGGCTTAGCCAGAGCTGCGAGCTGTCTCTGCTGACATCCTCCTTTTCTAAAGCACTGAAGTACTTGGCTCTCACCACACGGAGTGAACGTGGGATCCCTAAAGCTGACTAAATTCCCATCGCAGGAGCTGAAGAGAAAATGATAGATAGATATTTCTTTAGGTTCCCAAAGGCCTACATGAAACAGCTATGTCCACCCTGACAGTATGTTTCTGAGGGGATGAGAAAGAGGCAGGGTAAAAGCTGCAATGTTTATTCCCTCTAAATTCCAAGCATGGAAGACAAAGAGGATGAGGGAGAAAAAAAATAAGACGAGAACTATTGAATGGATTGTCCTCCCTTCGAAGCAGGAAGAAATAAAAAGTACCTGAAAACCACCAACGCCGCTCGCCTTTGTGGACGTTTCCCTTCGTGTCCTGACCTGCATTACAGTCCCGTCCACAAGTCTCATTTCCCCAGCAGGATTTCCCAAGCCCAAGTCCAGTATCGAATTCTTAAATGAATCACTAACTGAAATTGTGAGGTAACATGGCAAAGACGTTTAGTTCCAACTCAATTAAATAAGCATTTACTGCCCACCCACTATGTGTTTCATTAACTGCGCTCAGCCCTGGGGGTTAGTGATAGTCTAGCACTGTCACGTCTAGCCAGGGACGGATATGCAACCAACGGTCACACAGCATGAGAAATACTCCATTTGCGAAGTGTCCTAAGGGCACAGAAAATATAGTGCTTCATTGTGCTAAAAGCTTTCAAGGAGTGGAGGTATATAATTATATATTCCTAATTTTAAATATAAATGAATATAAATAAATATTTTGGTACATGAAAATTCTAATTTCACAACTGGTTATTTACTATATAGACTGTTTATTTTCTGAAAACGTGGGTGCTTTCATCAAAAATATGTAAAGATCTTGGAAAATTACTTATAAAAATGGTTAGTATCATCTCACATGCTCAGTCATGTTTCAATATTCATCATTTATATGAGACAGTACTAATATAATAACAAAGTGCTTCAACAGATACCATCTTAGCATTAGCTAAGTTAGGTGAGTTATCATCTTACTTGCTAGATGAAAACCATTACCCTAAAGACCCCGTAAAGAAACGTGATCAACCGAAACATTCATTAGCATTTCCTGTGCTTGAGCTTACAGACTAGAAATAAATTAAAAACAAGCATGTAACAGGTCCAGTTCTTCAGATAGCTTAAAAAGTAACTCAGAATCGAATAAGAACAATGCCATAGTAGAATTATATAAGATATATGTCCACATTGATAGCACAAATGTACATCCCCAGAGAAAGTGTTAGAAAAGTTTATTTTAGCCTTTAAGAAGCCAACATTCTATCCTCTCATCATTCTCCCTTTTATTCCCCAGTTCTTCCTTCCTGCTTGTAGAACCTGGAGTTTTCAGATGGTAGACAGATACTTCTATATATTTACAAACTGCCTTAGCAAGTTAATCACCGGTAGCTAGACATTGCATTTCTAGAACTTGGTTTGTAGCAAGTGTGAAATATAAGGTGCAAGTATGTTCCTGCAATCTAATAGAGTTTTTAAAAAATGAATCTGAAATTATTAACATTATCTTCTCATTTAAGGAAAAGTAATTAAATAAACCTGAGGTATGTTTAATGAAAATTAAATAAAATTGAGGTGCCTGATGTAATTATTTAAAGTTCTTCTAGTTTAATTATTATGTTAATCAATTTTTTTGCCCAGATAAATTTGTGGTTTTTTTTTTTTTCTTAATTCTCAGGAGTAAAAATGGTTTAAAGAAGAGGAAACTGACAAAGTAAGTTTTTCTTACTATTTCGTTTTAAAAGATGTTTGTCATAATGATCTTAACTTTCCAAATCAAAAAGACTGCTTCTCTTCAAATAGAAGGGATGCTTAAGAAAGAGGCAGATGTATGTTATGACAGCTAAGCACATGCGTGTTGGTGCATTTACACATATATCACAGAAACCATTTCAAGAGTAAGGATAATTCTTCCCATATGAAATCTGAGAAAGAATGGGCTGTCAGGAGTTCTGAAAGTCTTGCAGGAGGAAGTGTGGTATTCTAAATACAGTGTATGAAAATCTAATATTTAGACACATCAAAGGGTTTCAAAAACCCTTTAGTATTTCAAAATTCTGTGTTTATTGCAAGGAAAGGCATTTACTCTATTTGATCTTATAATAAATACTTTGATAATGCTATCTCGGGAAACATTTATAATAAATAGAAAAGATAGTTACTGTGGCTAGCCTACGGCTTTACTTGTCTACTGAACTGTTAAGTCAGAAGAATTATGATTCTATTGGATAAAAATTAACTATCAGTCGATTTCAAAAGCCTATTAGATTATCACGCCCAGACCTTTTCATAGTTAAAACTCTGCATATGAAGAGTGGAACATTCCTATAAATAGGGTTTGTTCTTCATACTTGCCCAAGATATAACATTAGTGAATTAGTCCAAGGAAGCAATTATGGTGTCCAGCCAGGTCTATGACATCCATACTAATGGAAAAAATCATGAATAAGCCATGACAAAATCCAAAAGAAAAGTCGATGTAAAAAATATTTCCAGTTAGCTTTGAGCAGCATATAATTTTAAGGCACCCGTGAATCCAGAATAATTTTTCCAAAGTCGATTTTGAATGAGTATGCACCCCACTTGCATACACCAACTGATGTAAGGGAGGCAAGACGAGACTAAATAGAGGCCAGGTCCTGTCACCTGAAAGAGATGATTTGACAGAAACAGAAAAACTTTGTTACCCAAAACTATTGGTTGGGTTGGTAAGTGAGCTAGAGAGGCATAGACCGGAGCACCGAGAGAGCAGGGTGTCGGGACAGAAAGGAGAGACTCTATCAGTGCTTGCTCCTTCCAAGACCCAGGCAAAGATGAGAAGGAGAAGTAAGAAAGGGACAAAAGATTCTGTAGAGTTTAGTAATTGGTAGAACCTACCCATAAACCAAAAAACTTCACATCAAACCAGCTTCCTCCTTCCCTCTTCTCATTGAATTTTCCCTCCTTCTCTAGAACCCAATTTTTGAGAGGATTTCCCCTCACTTTTCTCTTTGCCTGCTCTTCACCACTCCACATGCCCCACCACCACGTCCCCAGCTACCCACTCCTAGCGCCACTGTCTTCCTCATGCTGTCACTCTTGTCCTCCACTTCTCCTTCCCCCTCTCGCTCTAGGTCTCATCCTGCTGATCTCTCTCCCTCCCAGCTTTCTTGCTCTCCTCCCTGTCATCCCCTCCTTCTCATTGTCCTTCTTCTCATTCTTCTATTTCCTGGCTCTTCCTTTGTCTCTCTTTTCCCTCTGCTTCTTGCTTTTGCTTTTTCTAACCCATAAATATTTTCCCAATTTGCCTCCCATTTTCCTGTAACAAGATGAAAACTAGAGTTGTTAAGTTCAACACTAAGGTTCATACACTGCTCAAAGTCTGCAGCCAGAGCGTGCAGTGGTTTTTTGTTTATTTGTTTGTATTTTGAGACAGGGTCTTGCTCTGCCACTAGGGCTAGAAAATAGTGGCATCATCATAGCTCACTGCAACCTCAGACTCCTGGGCTCCAGTGATCCTCCTGTCTCAGCCTCCCAAGTAGCTGGGACAGCAGATGTGCGCCACCATGCCCGGCTAATTTTTCTGTTTTTTGTAGAGAAGGGGTCTCACTCTTGCTCAGACTGATCTTGAAGTCCTTGAGGATTACCTCAAGCAATCCTCTTTCCTTCACCTCCCAACGTGCTAGGATTACAGGTGTGAGCCGCTCATCCCTAGCCTGAGAGTGCAGTTCTAATGGGGTTCACTCCAGGACAGGAGCCCCACCTTTGGTAATTCTTTTGTGAAAGGGTATAAGCTTAAAGTGGGAAAAGCTTTGAGCTCCCTGAGTTCTAGTTACAGTTTTACCACTTAGTAGCTGCGTGATGTTGGATTACTCACTTAATTCTCCACCGTGGCTCTCTCATCTGGAGCATGGGGCTAATGTCATTTATGTCTATCTCAGGGGTCAACCAAGCGTAATAACATATGTGAATATGCAGGAACTGTAATGTGTTTTATGAATGAGTCATTATTGTTATTATTATCAAGTAAAATCCTTAGAGTTTAAATGTATTATCTGGGAGGTATGATGCCCATTAAAATCTACTAAAATCTTAGCATGCACGAACCTATCAGATTAGCTAACCAGGAACTTTAAACGAATATCTATTAAATACTATGTGTTTGCTAATAGGACATAAGACCGCACCTAGATAGATGATATAAGCTGAATCACATACCACAAGACTAAGGGAAGGGTCAAGTCTATGGCTCCTGGCAAGGTAGAAAGGCGTGGGTTAGACAACAGAGTCTGGCCCCCTGCAGACACAGAGAGCAGCCCCAGGAAGCAGGGGGTGTAGGTAGGCTGTAGAAGAGATAAGCAGAGGGTAAGCAGAAAATTGCAGGAAATAAAGCTTAATTCTTATTCACCCTCCCTCTCCCAAAAAGGTGAGAACTTCTGCTACAGAGGCAGAAACATAAGCTTGGATATGTTACTTGATTGTATCTCAGAGCCATTTTGATGCTTTTCTAGATGTGCTGGCCTCTAAATACGGCTCTCTCCAGTGAGACCCCAGGAGCTTTCTGGACAAGCACTTCTTCCCACTGACCCCGCTCTGGGGAGACTGTAGTGAGCAGCACAGTTCCTTAGACTTGTAAAGCTGTTTGAACTCACAGGGTTCTTTATATACTGCATGTGAGCCTTGTGAGGTAGGAATAGCTACAGTATTTTACAGGTGAGAATGTGGACTCTCTGAAGAGTCAGGTAATTCTCCAGGATCACATAAAACCACAACTCAAACAGGTCTTTGGGATCTAATCCTCTGTTCTTTTCCATGTGCCAGAGTTTTCTGGAAACAACACGTATGAGTGTATGTATATGAGTGTGCGTATGTATAATATTATACTGCTAGAGTGAAAGCCAGGTGAAATTCCAGAGATTTCTCCTATCTCAAGGAAGTTTGATATCTGTGTATGGGCTGGTAACTTGAACCAAAAATAAAAGTGAGTGCTAACCTTTGAGAAGTAAAAGATAATTGCGAAGTACGATGCTAAGCAGGATATAATGCCTATCGACAAGATTGTTAAAACTTACCTTTCTTTGTGTTTGGCAAAGCCCGGTTCAACTGGATGACTTTGATGCCTACATTAAGGATATGGCCAAAGACTCCGACTATAAATTTTCTCTTCAATTTGAGGTGAGTTGGGGAAAGCATTTCCTACCTTCCGTAATGGATAGAGCTTGGGAATTTGGGGTTTGTGTTGGGGTCATTTCCCTGCTCACTGGCGGTTCTTGGGATGTGATTGTGTGACAAGCAGAATAGTTCGCTGGCCTCAGGGTGCTGCATCTGCTGGTTCAAAGCAAGGGGTGTCAGGCCTTGGTGAGTAGCCAGGGCTCGGACGGAACCAACACAGGGGAGGAGAGAGCAGATGGAACAGGAAGTGAGGTGAGCATGGGTGTAGGAGAAGCCATCACTGAAAACCAGAGACATCGAGAGTACAGTGTGGGAAAAGCAAACTGAGGCGTGAGGACTGAGACAGAATTTCACTTTCAGGTGATTTTTAGTGTGTTTCTCATGCTTCTTAGGCCACAGTGCGGGTGGATGATGGACGAAACTGACCCCATGTTTCCCGGACACATAATAGCCTGGCGGGGGGTTTTTTGGGGTTTTGGGCTTCTTGGCTTTTTGTTTATTTTTTTTTCTTGGTTTTTTTTTTTTTTCTTTGCAAAAATTTGGGGAAGGAAGTTTCCCCTTGTTTTTTGCGGAAAAGGAAAAAACTTGCCACCCCCCGTTTTTTTCTTGATTGCCCCCTTTTTTTTTTTAGGCCCCGGCTTGGGGTTGTTTGGAATTGGGGAGTTTTGGGTTTTCGGCGTTGTGGGGACCTTTACTTTTTCTTTCTTTTTTTTTCCCCCTTGTTTTCCGGTTCTTACCCCGGTTGTTTTCCCTTCCTTCAGGTTTTTTGCGCCTTGGTTCCGTTGTTCGTTGTTTCGGGGAAAGGGGAAGGTTAAGTTGCTTTTTTTAATTTTTTTGGTTTTTTTTTTAAAAAGTCTTTTAAGTGCTCTTTCCTGTTAAGGCAGCTGCTTTCTTCTCATACTTCTTATTTGTTTGTTCTTTCCTCTCATCGGCCAAGGACAGCTTTAGTCTGCAAAAAGCAGCAGTAGTCCTGGTGCAGATATACTCACAGGACTTTTGAGGGTGAGGAGAATCTTATACATTACCAAATACAAAGACCTTAAAATACCACCTGTGTCCTGAGACATTCCACCCAGAGCCTGCTCAGTTAATCCAGTGCGTGCAGGTGCATAGGAAATGACAGACACTACCCCAAATGCTGTGTCTCAAAAACCAGCAATTCGATGGAGATCAATGGTGAGGATGACATTTCAGAAAATTATATCGAGGAAAATGAAAGCAGATTATTTTATAATGAAACATAAGCCAAAACGCTGAAAAAAAAAATGATGATTCTGATAATGATGGTAAAAATTATGGTGTAACTACACTTTTCAACCATATTAAAGCCACATCTTCTCTTAATTCTGTCAAGATTTTATGCCGTTGGTGGTACAGCTAGAATAATTACATCTGCTGGAAATTCACAGTTTATGCCATCAAACCTGAGTGTAGCTATTCCTGTGTTTTTGAATTGCATCATTATAAAAAAATTGCCTAAGTCATTTTCTAGTGAAAGAAAAGATTATTTTAGTTGTGAGTGAAAAAAACATAACTCAAACTAGTTTAGACCAAAGGGTAAGGGGACTTATTCAAAGGATCGTAAGGTGTCTGGTATAATGAAAGGAAGGGCTGAGTAGCTAGACCACGAGGAGAGGAGGGGAGCAGCTCCGTCTCAGGAATGACTGGAACCCTGGGCCAGAGGCCTGCAGGGTCCCTCTTTTTATTTCTCATTTCTGCTTCTTTCTCTGTCTTAGCCTCACTTTCTTTCACGGCAAACCAACCTCTTTTTCATAGTGGGAATGTGGCCAGCAATGACCCTTGGGTATCACATCCTTTTGTTTCCACGGTTTCCCAAGGGAACTATTGACGCTTTCTCGTTTGTAGTTTGAATATTAACAGGGAAGGATTTTGATTGACTAGTCCGGGTCATGGTGACTATTCAAACCAACCGCAGCCAGGGAGGGCAGAATCACACAAGCTCTTACTTATGTAAGCGGGCGGCTAGATTAGCTACCCTGAGAAAGACAGCATTATTCCCCAACAAAGAGAGGATGCTGGGAGAACCGAACAACAGGTGATTAGAATACTAGCCTTAGGGGCCAAAAAATATAAAAAGCAGAGTTCTAAATTTTATATGCTAAATGTTCAATTCATAACATGTTAAGAGATTTTATACATTCATTGTACAAATGAATAGATTTAGACTTATTTCATATGATTTTTAAGGGAGTTAGGGATGTACTAAATTAGGAATCTAAAAATCTGGATTCTCACTTCTGTTTTGCCACTAGTTAATATTGCAAAAAATCATGTTTTCTCGTCACCTCAGTTTCTTCATCTATGAAATGGGCAGGTTGAACTAGATCAATGGTTCTCAACTAGACAAGTACCAGTCAGTCTCCTATAGGGGGTTTGGGAATGTGTGGGTTGTTATAATGGCTTGGGAGGACGGTACTAATCATATTTAATGGGAGAGGGACAGAGACGTTAAATGTCCTTCAAGGAGTGGGATGGTCCTGATGAACAAAGAGTTGTCCCAGGCCATTAATGTTCCCTGGAGAAATGTTGGATGAATGTGGAATGAGGACACAACCAAGATTCATTACCTGTGTGTATTAGTCAGGGTTCTCCAGAGAAAGCAACAGGATATGTATATAGAACCAATGGGATGTGTAGAGGGAGATTTATTTCAAGGCTTATGCAATTGTGGGGCTGCCAAGTCTCAAATCTGCAGGGCGGGCCAGCGGGGTGAAGCCCCAGGGAAGAGCTGAGGTTGCAGTCCTGAGTCTGAAGGCAGGGGGACCTGTCTTTTCTGTTCAGGCCTTCACCTGATTGGATGAGGACCACTCACATTATGTAGCACAATTTGCTTTCCTCACACTCTGCCAATTTACATGTTAATCACTTCTTAAAAAAAAAAAAAAAAGACCTCCACAGCAGCAGCTAGACTGGTGTTTGACCAAGCAACTGGGCTATAGTGCCTAGGTGATACGTAAAATGACCTATCACACCATGATTTAAAGTAGCATTTAATATTTGTATTTATTATGAGGCTTTTTTCCCCTATATCTTTATTCTTAGAACACTATCGGTCATATATGTAATTTATTTGGTGCCAAGTCCTGACACCAGTGTTCCAGTAAGAAAATAAATACAACTTACTCTCTAGGGGTCTGTTTTAAGTCACAGGCTTAGACTATATGTTTTGGACTAACATTTGCTCAAGCAGTGGCCCATGGTCTGACTTCCTTCTTCACTGGACAGCCTCCAGGTATTGCCAACCCCAGCCCCACCCTGCCCCCTCATCCTCAGGTTCAATGTCAGGGTTTCCTTACTGACCTTCAAAGAAGCATTATGCTCTCATGCCTAATTTCAGCATGTATGTCAGACCTTTCACATGGAAGCCCTAAAGTTTTCTTAAAATATGTTAATAGTTAATTGAAGCTTAAGGGAAAAAAAATGTTCCCAGCTCTAATGGAAACCCAAGAGGGTACTAAGATGGCTTGAATCAGCTGGGTCTAGCTAATTCATTTATTTGTTCTGTTTATATTAATGCTTAGTACTTGTATACGTTTTGATACTGACATTAAAAGATCACACTCACACTGAGAAATTACATTTACAAGCATTATGCAAATTCAAACTAATGTCTAGATTTACATATATTATGAATACAGCTATAAGTCATACATGAAGCTATATGAGTTCCTAATTTGTGTTTCCTGAATAAATTTTTTTACTCTGCATCTGATTTTGAATCTGCTAGAAAGATTGATTATCCTTCTGATGAAAACATACATCTTTTCTTAAGGAGATTTGGGACCCAGCGATTAAAATCAGTTCCGCATTTCTCGTGTCTAATGTGAGAAAGGTTTGGAAGAACTAGACTTCAGAGCTGAAATGGGAGAGCCCAGGAGACATACCACAAAGTGCTCATTCTGCGACTAATTTCTGTGCTTTGTGTTTAATCAGGATGCTAGTGAGGGCCCTCACCATCTTTTTTCAGAAATGTGGCTGCGAAGGTGAAAAAACTATATTACTTGCCATGCAGTTCACAAGAGATGATCTTTGGTACTTTGGTATCTGGTAGGAGCTTTTACTTGCTATAGATCGAACCTCTTCTGTTAACACCATGGGCACAGTGTTTCTTGTCACTTGTTCCACACCCGTGGACAAGTAGGTGTGGCACTCATCTGACTCTAATGTCCAACCTATCCCAAGGCAAACACCAAAAGCAAACTATCACCTGCTGACCTTGTTACAAATTCTAAGACCAGAATGTGGTTCATATTCTCCTCAGAAGATAATAGTACAAGCTACGGGCTAAATTTTTGTGTCTCTCAAAATTCATATGTTGAAGTTCTAACCGCCCGCCCAATGGGATATTATTTAGAGATGGGGCCTTTGGAAGGTAATAAGTGTAGATGAGGTTATGAGAGTGGGACCCTTATGATGGGATTAATGCCTATATAAGAAGAGGCACCAGAGAGCCCGCGCTCTCTCTCTTTCCCAGAACACACACAAAGAAGAGGTCATGTGAGCACACAGTGAGACGGTGGCTGCCTAGAAGCCAAGATAAGAAGCCTGAGAATGAAATCCACTTTGTTGGCACCTTGATCTTGGATTTCCCAGCCTCCAGAGCTGTGAAAAATAAATGTCTGCTATTTAAGCCACCACTCTATGGTATTTTGGTGTGGTAGCCCAAACAGACTAATAGAATGCATATGTTTGTGCTTTGCTTTTTGAGACTTGTGTGCTTCAAACACAGCCAAGAAAACATAGACTGCTATTGGGCTTGGGCGACTGTGTTCGTTCCTAGAGCTGCCATAACAAATTACCGCCATCTTGTTGGCTTACCACCACAGAAATTTATTCTCACAGTTGTAGAGGCCAGAAGTCTAGAATCTAGGTGTCAGCAGGGCCACACTCCCTCCGAAGGCTCGAGGGGAGAATCCTTCTTTGTCTCTTTCGGCTTCTGATGGCTGCAGGGGTTCCTTGGCTTGCAGCTGCATAACTCTATTCTTTGCCTCCAACTTTATATGGCCTCTTCCTCCTCTCCAGGGTGATCTCATCTCATGATCCTTAACTTAATTATATCTGCAAAGACTTTTTCTAAATAAGTTCACATTCACAGGTTCTGGGAGTTAGGATGTGGGCATATCTTTTCAGGGACCACCATTCAATGCCCTACAGATGACTGTGTACTCTAGGAAGAAAGATGATAAATTAGAAACAAAACTGACAAAAGAAAATTCAAAAATGATTTATGTTGGTTTCAGGCCATCACCCCATACTTCGCCTTCATGAAGATTTAAGCCAATGGAATTTCCATATGGTTGGAAAGAAAATAACTGCAAAGCTACTGAACTGGAAACTTAGTATTTGATTTTCCACTTTGTGACAGGCTACATTACAAAGACTGCAGAGCATTTTGTGTTTACAAGCAGTTCCTGCTTTGCTGCAATCCAACTTTGGCAATTTCCATTTACAGTGTTCAGCCAATTAAACCTCTTTTATCAACTTAGGGCATTTACAGCAGGGAGGCAACACACAATTAAAGTTCTATCAGTTAGTCAGCTTCCATATGTGCTCCAACTCTCAGCTTCAATCTGTTTCCACAGTGTCTTTTGTATCTGAGACCTTTTCCTGTGGCTTATCAGTCTGTCCCCAAAGGGGAATTGTGGGGAGAGTTGTTGGTCTGTTAGCACAAATTGCAAAGGAGGAAGAATTTATGGAGTCAGCCAAAGCAAAACAAAGATTCATAGCAGAAGCATTTCACAATCATCATCAATAATGCTGCATTAGTATTGAGTTATTCCATTTGATAGTCACTAAAAACCAGTGAGGAATGGAGAAATTATTAGCCTTATCTTACAAATGATTAAACTGATGTTAACAAGAGTTGAACTACCTTTCCAAGACCATAAAGTTTATAACTGGTACACAAAAATAGGTGAGATATTTTGGCAAATTATCTATAAAGGCACTTTCTAAATGAGATAGATTTCCAAAATATTTTAAACAATGGAAACATCATTTAAATAAGCTTATAGCTGCCAAAAGGAACTAATCTAACATTGATTTAGTTGAAATTTGCTAAAAATAAGTTTTGTTTCTTACAAGAACAGTACAGTCAACCTTCGAAAACCCTTTAAAATGGAGCATTCAGTTGTAAAGCAACAGTGACAAGCTTCCACCTAAACCCATTTGTCAAGCAAGAGTTTTGTCTGAGATGGAAAAAATTCTAATTTTGTGAGTTGAGGATCATACTTCACATAGTTTGTCTACGAGACTGACTTCAACTCTGGCCAAAGAGCTTAAGATTTTGTGGTTTTGAGAAGCCAAAAGTGATGAGGAATCAAAGAAAGAGAGAAATCTGGGCAATTTAAATCAGTTCATGAGTGTTGACTACAGGCATGCAGCCCAATGCCAGTAAGCACAAGGGAAAGTTGCCACCAAGGACCCTCTATTTGAAAGTAGCAGAAGACTCAAGAACTTAATCACTAAAGCATGTGTTTTGCAAAGAGCACTTGAATCAAGACACAAAGGGCATGAAAAAGAGATCCCTATTCAATGTCTCAGAACATCATCAAATGTCTCCAACATTTGCCACTTTTGAAAAAGTGGCACTTTCCAAAAGTGTTTAAAGACTCTCTAAAATTCTTCTCCCAGAGACATATTCCTCCAGCCTATGATTCCTTGAAGTAATAATTGGAAGGAATTATGAAGAGTAAAACTTGTGGCTCAATAATACCATTCTATAAGTGTAAATAAAATGTATAGCAGGTGATTTCTCTACTGCCTCACTTAGTAGTCTTACAGAAAGATGCATACTGTATAGGTAGTTAGTATAGATACATAAGTATAGAGTATAGATGCATACTATATAGATAATTTATAGATAGTTTTAAATGCTGTTTACTGATATGTCTCTAAAGTTTGTACAAGAATATAATTAGATCTGCTACACTGGTTGTGCACTGCACAACTCCACTGGTCTTCATTCGTGTAGACCACAATGTGAATGATGCCTCCAGGAACACAGGTGACCCAACTACAGCCCCCCTGTTTCCTATAAGATACATAGAATAGCAACTTAGAAACCCCCTTTCCCCATAACATATATTTTTTGAAGTCTGATGCTTGTTTATATAAAATTTTCCTATCTGTGCACTTTCTGATAATGGGATTTATAAGAGTACTGATACATGCAGGTAGATATTTGGATGTTCTTGTTCTCGTTGAAGGATTTTCCCAACTGCTACCAATTCATCTTTGTTTTTGAAGATCTGTTACCAAATGTTTAGTGCCTGTTAACCCTATGTTTTGTAACATGGAGATTGCTCCCTTCTCATTGCTCCTCATTCTCTCATTTTTGTCTTTCTCTAAAGCTCATTGCCTACAAGCAAAGGAGACCTACATTCCTTCATAGAATAGGAAGTATTTATGCAAATTGCATAAATTTCAGTTACCCTATTCCTCCAAAAATCTGAAAAGCATTTCTGTTTTCAAATCTTCCACACCCTGAGAGTTATGCACATATTAATAGTTCTTACTTCTCCAAATGACCACTATCCAAGGTATTTATGTGTTGTATTTTATAACTATTACTGTAATAATGCCATATAAGAAACAATCCCCAAATCTCGGTGGCCTACAACATTTATTTTTTCCACTCATAGGTCTGTGGGACTTCTGGGGCAGTTCGCTTTAGGCTGTAGGCAAGAGTCGGGTCTGCCCATGTGTCTCCTCATTCTGGGAGACGCACCCTCACTGGGCGTGTCTTTTTCTTGGCAGAGGGCAGACAAATTGGGCAAACCAAACTTAGCAAGTGCATCGAAGCTTCTGATTGGACTTGAGTTCTCCCCAAGTTCATTGGCCAGAGCAAGTTGACAGCAGTGGGGTGGAGAAACACACTCTACCCCAAAGGAAACTACTGCAACATTATATAGCAAAGAGCATGTTATGATTCTATATATGCAGGGAATGAAGAATAATCCAATGTGAACAATAAGTCTGTGACATCAGTAATTCAAGCCACACCACACACAGAAATCTCAAATCCATCCTCTGTCTTTTGCAGGAGTTGAAATTGATTGGACTGGATATTCCACACTTTGCTGCAGATCTTCCACTGAATCGATGTAAAAACCGTTACACAAACATCCTACCATGTAAGATGGTCAATAGTGCTGATCCTCCTCGTGTCTCTTAAAGGTTGAAGGACAGTTAATGTAGATCAGTCGATTTCACCAATCTCTGCCCACACCCAGTTGTGGTCTGGACCTCTAGGCCATCTCTGAGATTGCATTCATCTCACTCCTATTTGATGTCATTAGATCCTATTATATGGAGGAAGGTTTAATTAGTATGCTTTTAAATGAATTGTATCTGAACAGAAAAGGCTGACCATTTGGCCCTATGAAGATCAAAGAGTCTTAGCCAAATTAGGAATCAGATAATTTGTGCTCCTATAAAATATTTCTAGTCAATTCATTGACACTGGAGGGAGGTAAATAGAAAGTGCGATGTGTTAAAATGCCTTCTCTAACTTCTGGCAAATTATGTTGTTGCTTAGCATTTTGAGATAAAAACAACATTCAAGGGGAGAAAAGTAATATAAAGTACTTACAGGACAATTAAAATGCATTCCAGTATAGACTTAACTTTCCTCTCTGCTACACTCTAGGTCAGCTGGGCAAGAATGGGAAAGTGGGAGGCTGAAAAAGCTCTAGAAAGAGAACTCTTTCCTTGATAGGGTTTCTTAATGAAATTAGGTAGTCTTATCACAATAACATTTCACATCTGTACACAGTTAAGAATTTAATTCCCTCCTTCAATGTCCACTTACCAAAAATCCCCCATGCATCTTCTCTAGGTCTCCCAAAGACAGTGAATTCTGTGGATGCCCCCAGGTGAAATGGAAATCATGTATTTAGGCTACGTGTTATAGCTTTCCATACAATCTCCCAGATATTTTAGTTCCTGTAAATATTCTGCACAACCCCCAGACACCCTGGAGACAGTTCTTTCAAGGGCAGGAGAGCTGGTGGGGAGAAAATAGTGGTTAGAAGATATTTATGTACTTATTTAAACAAGAGATTGAAGAATGGCCAAAATATCAAGCTGAAATAAACTGTCTACCTACTCTATCATTGACTGATGTGACGTGATATTGGATAGACAGGGGCAAGATCATTCTTCTTCCATCCCGATTTTTAACTTCTCTTTTCTCTTTGTTCTTTACAGATGACTTTAGCCGTGTAAGATTAGTCTCCATGAATGAAGAGGAAGGTGCGGACTACATCAATGCCAACTACATTCCCGTAAGTAGAAAAAAAGGCATCCCAATGCTAGCCCAGCCCGTGGGATACTGTCAGGGGTATATGTATGTATCAAACAGTTAAAAAGGGAGACTTTCCCCACCCAGCTCAAACTCTAAAGAGCAGTTCCCATTATTTCATTTCAGAATAAAGAAGGGAGGGAACCCATAGATTAGTAATGTTCCAATTTTTTTGTAAAGGACTAGTGAATGGAAAAGCAGAAAGGCTAAAGATCATCTTTCTTGTGTTTAAATTTCAGTTTCAGCAAACAAACTCAAAGGGCTCCACCTGAGCACCTGTGCTTTTTAAATATCCACAAAGAGAGTGGTTGTTGTCATAAAAAGGTGTGGATGTGATTTTTATAGCCTTCTGGAGAACTATGCTTAAAATCACACAGACCTATATAATCAGTTATTCTCATTGCCTCTTTGATGAACAAAGGAGAAAATGTTTTATAGTTGTGTGATCCTTTGCCAGTTTTATCACCAGTAAATTTTCAGTTTTTTCCCATTGATGTGGAACAGGATTTGGTGTTGACAGTGGCTGGTTAGGTGATAACTTTGTCACTTATCTTTCAGGGCTACAACTCACCCCAGGAGTACATTGCCACCCAGGGCCCACTGCCTGAAACCAGGAATGACTTCTGGAAGATGGTCCTACAACAAAAGTCTCACATCATTGTTATGCTCACTCAGTGTAACGAGAAAAGGAGGGTACGTAGCGAATGGGGCTGTTCCTACGTAGCAAAACTACCTCGCCACTACCACTGATAACGTGCTTAATGTGTAGCAGAATCTATTGTACTTGCTTTATTTTCCATCTTCACAACAGTCCTGTACAGTCCTTCAGAAGCAAGTCCCTTTGTGTCCCCTAAGTGACCACAGACTTCATTCCTTCCCTAGCCTGTTTGTTTTAAAAGATTGTGTTATCCTCACTCCAGGTGAAATGTGACCATTACTGGCCATTCACGGAGGAACCTATAGCTTATGGAGACATCACGGTAGAGATGATCTCAGAGGAAGAGCAGGACGACTGGGCCTGTAGACACTTCCGAATCAACTATGTAAGTCACCAAGCAGGACGACAGGTGCTGTCCACACGCTGACACCTCTACCGCTGCCACCCAGCAAGTGCCAGGAGACCAACCCACCACTGTGTAAAACAATGAGCACTTCAGGCTTTGCGATGCTGCTTCCTTCAAGAGAAAAAATCCACTTTTAGTGTAGTCATTTCCCATTTCTTCAAAGATGGTGTGGATGCAATTGTTGGCCTGAAGGGCCTGAGAAGACGCAATAAAAAGTCTGTACTGGTCCATCTCAAATTAGCCCAGGGTAATGGAAGACACAGTTATTCATTGCTTATCAGGCATGACTGAGGTGGGCAGTGTTCTCATTACTTATATTAACCATATATGAGGATAATTGGGATATATAAGGCACACTTACTTTTTTAATTTTTAATTTTTATTTTTTTTAGAAACAGGGGTCTTATTCTGTCACTCAGGCTGGAGTGCATTGGCACGATCATAGCCCACTGCAGCCTTGAACTCCTGGGCTCAAGCAATCCTCCTGCCTCGGCCTGCAGAGTCACTGGGACTATAGGCATGATCTACCACACCTGACTATGTTTTAAATTAAACACTTGAACCTTGATTTAGTGGTTTGAGTTTTATTTGGTTTATTTTTCCTTATTTCGTTCTGGTTTGGTTTTTCATTATTTGGAAGGTACTTCCAGGCCTTATTAATCATGGTTCCGTATCTCTCCTGAAGTGCTATTGATTTCTGATCGTTAGAATGTGAAGAAAAGTCTATTTTTCTCGCAGGGCCTGCTACCTCTCCGATGGCAAGGCTTTGAGCACATGCAGAATGTTTCTGTGCCAGGCTTAGGTGCTAACGTCAACCAAAGTCACCCTGTTGCCTTCTCCCTGTAACATATGGGAGAGAGTTTTTACTGGTATTCTCTACTTTGAACATGCCCTCTAATGAGGACAAAATGTAATAGGAAAGTCCTCATTGAGATGTTCTTCCCTGCTTAGAAACAACTCTTCCTGATAGTATAGACCAGGAGATGGCAAGTTGCAGCCTATGGACCAAATTGATCTGCTGCCTGTTTTGTAAAACCTATGAGCTAAGCATACTTTTTACATTTTTAAATGATTGAAAAATTTTTTAAGTATTTAATATGTAATATTATATGTAAATTATGTGAAATTCAAATTTTGGTGTCCGTAAATAACATTTTATTAGAACACATCCCACATTTTTTTGCATATTGTTCATGGCTGCTTTTGTGTTACATTAAGCTTGAGTTAGTGACAATCAAAACTATATGACCCACAAAAACATAAAACATTTATTATCTGAGCCTGGTGCAGTGGTTCATGCCTGTAATCCCTGGGAGGCCAAGGCAGAAGAATAGCTTGAGGCCAGGAGTTCAAGACCAGCCCTGACAACATAACGAGACCCCATCTCGCTATGTTAAAAAGTTAGCCAGGTGTGGTGACACACACCTGTAGTCCTAGCTACTTGGGTGGCTGAGGTGGGAGGATCCCTTGGGCCCAGGAGTTCAAGACTGCGGTGAGCTATGATGGCGCCACTGCACTCCAGCCTGGGTGAAGGAGTGTGACTCTGTCTCTAAAATAAATAAACAAACAAACAAACATATTAACTATCTGGCCCTTTGTAGGAAAAGTTTAGTGACCCTTAATATAGACAATGGAAACAAAGATTGTCCATATAGTTAGAACATAAGAACTCAGTAACTACCCATTCACTGATATTTACAAGAGATAAATCACTTCTTAACTACTGGTAGTTAACAATGGCTTTTACTACCAAGAGAATTTAGGTAAATCCCAGGTATGCCTGTGCCAGACTGTGTTTGGAGCTGCTCCATTCCTTTGAAATGCATATGTCCTCCTTGTTCCCCAAGCACCTTTCTACTCAAACAGTTTCAGCCCATGCGTTGCCTCCTTTGTGGCACCTTCCTAGGACTCAGAGACCATTAGCCCTTTTCTCCTCTGGAGCAGAGTCTCACGTAGACTGTACTATCACAGAGCATTTTCGATGGTTACAATTCTCCCTCTTCATGCTTGCCTCCCCCAGTGTACTGTGAGTTTCGGCAGCAAGTGTTTTATCTTTGTAGAATGAATAAATCAGTGAATAAATGAAATATTTCAAAAATAATAAAGCTGTTGTAAAGCACCAACAGACTTTCCATCAGAGAACATATTTGATAATCTAAATGCCATTTGAACTCTGCTTTCTTTCCTGGCTATTTCAGTTAGAAAGCCAGTGCAAATTGCTAGACAAACAATAAAAATCTTTCCCTGGGTTTGTATCTAGGAGAAAAAAAAAACTGCAGAGCATAAAATAGGGTCTGTTCCCATATCTATTCCCTTCACAGGGAAGAGTCACATAGATTATTGTATGGTCAATACTACACTTCTTGTCCTTGGTCTTAAATGATGACCTATCTTTCAATGACAACCATGAGAAGGGCTGAAAAATGAGAATAAAACATTGAATAATAGTGTTTGCTTGTAAGGCATTTACACAGTAGCAACAAGCATCTGGTGCCACAGTGCCCCCTTTTGGCCATAAGCATCCAGA